AGAGAGAGGGACGGAGAAAGAGAGAGAGAGAGAGAGAGAGAGAGAGAGAGAGAGAGAGAGAGAGAGAGAGAGAGAGAGAGATCTCTTTATACCCCTTAACTTTTCCTACTATTATATTTCATATGTTACTATTTCATATTTTTATTTTGTTGTTCTTGTTATTTCTTTTTTACAAGTTGTCTCTTTTTTCTCTTTTTTCAATATGCTCACATGTACATTTTATTGGCTTGTTGCTCTCGCGCTGCCCATTTCTCATTCTGTCGTTCCCTGAAAAGTTTTCTTTTGTTTGCTCCCTGACACATGTACACACATAAACACGCGCACGCACAAACCCGCGCGCACGCGCCTAACTAACACAGAGAGAGTGTCCGGTTGGTTAGAATGCGTTTACATAGTGTAACGTGTGTAGTATTATGCATGAGTATAGCATCGCGTTGCATCCACTCACTTATTTTATTGCCTTTCACCTTCCAACACACAAGTGACCCACAAACACGCCAATTCGCTAGTGCAGACCTGCTATCTCTGTGTTATTTCAATTAATATACTGAAATGAAGCAACGTCTAGATTTGTTTCCCGTTTTAATTGCGCATGAATTAACAATAATCAAATATCCATTGATGGATTGATTTGCACATACACACACGCGCGTGCGCGCGTGCGCGCACACATGCACACACGAGGAGTTAAGTATAAATTACTCAATACTTTCCTTTTAAGTTCTATTATGAGCACACTCATCGTACGTCAGGAATCTACGCTCACGCGCATTCAAGAATGATCTCGATGCTCGAAAGAGAAATCGAGTGATTAGACAACCTATTTTTCTATTGTGTTGCGTGGCGTCGTTGTGTTGTGTTGTGTTGTGTTGTGTTGTGTTGTGTTGTGTTGTGGTGCGTTGTGTTTTGTTATGTTGTGTTGTGTTTTGTTATGTTACTTTGTGTTGTGTCCTATTTTTTCGATATCATACCAACGTTTCGCCATATAGACATTAGAGTCATAAGTAATCTTTACTTCGCGCAGATCACGGTTGCATCCGAACAAAGCTGTGCGGTGTATACCTGGCACCACTCACGCAATTCCATATTTCCGCACTCGATAGAAATTTATCCCATATTAAGGCTATGCACCGCAGCAGGTCAATTGAAAATATTACTGCCATTTATGAGTATTGCAGTCTAACTGCTGAACTCCACACGCCAATATAGCCTTTCCCATATTCAGTATAAGCGACTATAAATTCATCCACGAATTATTATATGCAGCTGCATGTACTCTCAGTCTGTAAAAACAGATGTAGGGTTATACCTGTTATCCCAGTGGTGATTAGATACTTTGCACGAATATGCAGTCAGCTACTGTGTGGTAATATTTGTTACAGGCACATGCGCTGCCTATACTTTCCCACTGAAGGCGCCATATTATGGGAGGAGACATGTGTCAAAATTTAAACGTTCAATTGATCGATTGATTGTTCAATTGAACAGTCGTTTAATCATTCAAACGTTCAATTGATCGATTGATTGTTCAATTGAACAGTCGTTTAATCATTCAAACGTTTAATTGATCGATTGATTGTGCAATTGAACAGTCAATGTAATCATTCAAATGTTCAATTGATCGATTGATTGTTCAATTGAACAGTCAATTTAATCATTTAAACGTTCAATTGATCGATTAATTGTTCAATTGAACAGTCGTTTAATCATTCAAACGTTCACTTGAGCAATTAAATAACGAATTGCCAAATTGAATCGCCGAATTGACGATTTGACGAATTGACGAATTGACAAATCAAAGGCACGAATACTGAATAGGCGTATTGAATCATCAGGGGCGGATGCAGGATTTTGTCTAGGGGGGGGGGTGCAGGTGGGAAAGGGCACATTTTTTTTAGGGGCAACTGAAGCGAGGACCGCAGGTGCGAATGAACCGGTGTGGGGTCGGGGGACCTCCCCCAGAAAAATTTTAAAAATCAGACTCCTTTTTATGCATTTTCAGAGCATATGAGGCGAAATTTTTGTACTTCAAGTCTTGTCATAGCAATGAAACAATTCCACATACAAGGCAAAATCCACAAAGCCACAAAAACCATCAAATTGCTTGAAATTAACT